CACGACAATACACTCTTTTGCTTATTTGAAGAATGTTTGATGTGTTGCCCTTGTAATACAACGGCACAGCAGGAAAGTAAATTCAAGCCTCGCTTCATTTCGCATTTGCCCTTGAATTTGCGACGTTGGAGGTGTGCATAAGTATGGGACAAGGTGACAGTAAACAGATATTTGAAGTGTAATTACATCCAAATTGAGAAAAAACTCAGTCTGGTTGTGTGGGAGTAAGTGTGCCAGGAATACAGTGACTCACGCCAGTACTTCTCGGGGAAATGGCGTCTGCTTCTTCACACATGATGCTGACAGTGGGCGGATGTCCTGCTGTAGTGCTGCCGTCTGGCGGCCGCGGGCTGTTGCTTTTTTCCAGAAGCTTGTCACAGCGAAACTATTTGCTCAGTTGACTCAAGCTTTTGTGGGTATACCTTAAAGACATCATGAGATGCCCACAACAAAATACTTTATATAGCTATAGTGTGGGAGACTGAGGTAACGTAGGTATAGACATCTGTCACTGGAGATGACGCTGACAAACCAAGGATCATAAACGGAGTGCTTTTGGGATTCGAACCTACGACTAACAGATTCTGACACGGCTAAAGGATGCAACACTGCACACCGTCGCACAGGACATCTGAAATTAGAGATTGACAGGACCAGAGTTTTACGCCGCTTGTAGCAATATTCCAGCAATATCACGGCGGGGGGACACCAGAAATGGGCTTCCCACATTGTACCCATGTCGGAAACCGAACACGGTTCGAAGGCTTTAACCAATAGGCTACCTGACCGTACCAGGGAGAGATTCAAGAAGAAATATATTCAAGGAATGATAAACTCAAGTAAGGATGCACAAATAAAGCAGCTAATAACATCTTTCGGTGTCACATTGCAATTTCATTTATTCATTTATTGATTGTGGGTATACCTCAATGACATGAGATGCCAACAATAAAATAGTATACAAGTTCGCAATTACTTCATGTCTAGCAATATTCCAGCCTTTTGTGTTTACATTTCACAACGTTTGAGATACAATCGAGCATTCTCTTTCTACCAAGATTTCAAAGAGCGTCATACGACTCTTGCTCAGAAGTTGTGTGATCAAGGTTACTACATTCATGGCCTCAGTAAAGCTTTCAAAATGTTTTATGGTAGACATGTGGAGGACATTTCCAAATTTCACACGTCAGTGACAAAAATGAGGTCCGAAGCAATTCCCTATTTTGACTTGTATATACCATATGTTCCCGTGCTTCTTCAGATCAATTGACTTGCCTTTGCATGTGTTTGTGACGGGTGCCACCGGTGGGGCAGGATACACTCACCTTTTCGCGAACACCTGGTATCACTACTATTTGATAGTGATTCATAAACGCATGCTCATGATATATTCGGACAGTTTATATGCAGAGACTTCTATTTGATATGGAAAGGATGTTGCTGCTTTATTCCAAGTGAGACAAAATCCTTTCTATGGTCAAAAGATGTTTATAAATACACTCGTTTGTAGGACGCCGCAACATTAATGAGCATGTCGCACATTGTGTGAAGAATCGAGTATTTTGGTAGTCATGGAAGAATCATTAATCACAAGTACCTCCAATAGCATCTATTTTTTTATTATTTTTTGGTGATCAAAGTTGTCGATGTGTGAAGTCACGTACAACGGAACGCAGTAATATGACGTCTAAATGCTTCAATTGACCAATCATCAGGCTTGCGGACTTGATTGATGCATGTCATCGTATCCCAATTGCGTGAATCGATGCTCATGATGTCACTCACTCACCCTGAGGATGACTCATCCTCGTGCTCCGTGAAGATCCGGGGTAGAATTGGTCTTCCGCAACCCATGCTTGTCATAAAAGGGAACAAACGGGATCGGGGTCAGACTAGCTGCCCTGATTTATGCATGTCATGGTATCCAAGTACAATGCTCATGATGTTAATAACCAGGTTGTTTGGTCCAGACTCGAATATTTACAGACCCCCGTCATATATCTGGAATGCTGCAGTGTTGAACAACAAACCAAAACATACACTCGTTGAATACACTTCCAGATATTACTAAGGAAATTTGTCTCTGACCTGGTGAACATTATAATTCTAAAATTTTCTTGTACAGTTTTATTTTCGCATCTAAATTAATGTCCATTGCATTCATGGCCCTAAATCAAATGCATTGAAATCACTGATATTAGATACAAGAACGTTGTTAAACACCACAGTAAGAGATATTCGAATCTGGATCAGGCAAACATGTGACTGAAAGCATGAGTAACGATCAATGACATACAAGCCAAGACAACGACATGATCCAAGTTTAGTTGGAACAAATGACACGCATGACGTACTGGGAACCTATTATGACAAAAATCCAGTTACATCGCGGCGTGTCAGCTTAATGTGTGAGGAAAGCCCGAAGTGATGCAGGTCTTAGACGTTTACCACATCGGTGGAACCCATGAGCACGGGTATGGTGCTGACAAACCTAGAAACATAATTGGGGCGAACCAGGAATCGAACCCACAATCATAGGTTTATGGCATGTCCAAGGGACGCAACTCTGCACAGCAAATCGCGGCGCCTTAGATGACTGGGCCACCCGTGCCCCCAGAATCCAAAGAGTGACAGTGAGTTGGGTTTAAGGCTGCATTGAACAGTACTCAAAGGACTTCAGTTATGCCATGTACATGTCAGGTCAGCTTGGGAGGAAAGCCCTAAAGCGATGCAAATCTCTGACGTTAACCATTTAGGTGAAACCTACAAGCAACGTGTGGTGCTGACAAACCTAGACACATAATCGGGGCGAACAAGGATTCGAAACCACAATCATGTGTTTCTGGCATGCCCAAGGGACGCAACTCTGCACAGAAAATTACAGGGAACAAACGACATAGTTACGCCAGCTGCCATGATGGCTCCTTCCATGATCCTCAGAGCCAACAGACACACACATACCACACATCACCATCATCACCATCATCACCACCACCTCAGCACCAGCTCCAATCCCAACTTCCTGAAATCTATAACTAAGATGTCACTAAACAAAAAAGGACGACAAACAGTTGTAATCAAAAATATTTTTTAATTTACAAAAATATTTTTAAAAAATAAGATATAATCTGCAATATAATGTAATCAAGTGAAATGATTTTTTTTTTATCAAGAAGACATTACAGCATAAATAGATTAGAATCCTTATTTCTCATATCTTTTCGAAGCATTTTAGCATCCATGTAGAGAAAGTTGCATGTAATGTCAAAATAATATCCTGAATAAGACATGAAGCATTGACATAGTTCTGGGATAAATTCTTTGTGGGAAATTTCTCCCAACTGACTATCTCTATAGGCCTTTCTGGTTTAATTTTTTTATTCAACAATAATCCAGCTATATGGTGGCAGCTGATGCACTGTAGCTCACCAAGACCTTGCAACTCTTGCAACAACAGTTGATTGAAAGGGAGTTGGGTGTAGCCGCCTTGATCACTTTGAACAAGAATTTCAGTAATATCATCTACATACATGTATATTCAAACAGTACTGATGCGGCTCCAGAATTTTGAAAAAGGGAGGGGGGCTGTACACTACCTTAGGCTTAAACAAATAATTTTGAAAATATAGTGTGGGTGGGCGGTGTCTTTTTTTCTTTTTTTTTCTTTTTTTGGGGGGGAGGGGGATGGGGATGGGGGATGTGTGTGTGTTCAAACTAGTAAGTAACCAATAAACAGTCGTGTACACTCAACCTGGGAAAGGGCCTCCCTACATAAATGTATTCCTTGTTGAGTAATATACTGGAATATAGTATTTGACTACCGTTGCACTTGGAATATTTAAGGAGTTTTTTGTTTTTTTTAATAAAATGGAAATAAAAACGAAACATGCAGTGAACTTTATGATGATGCAGGCGGTGCCTGAGAACCAAGACTAAAATAAAATATCTGGTGCACCTGTAAGACATACAACTGATACATCCTGACATGCAAGATGTCTGCAAAATTGGGAACACACACACACCTCTGCACCCCACCTCTCATGAAATAGGTTGTTTTTGTTTTAATGCAATATGTACAATATCATGTTTCACTGATCCATTGACCCTCAAAAAATAAAAAGTTGAAAAAAAGATAGATTTGAAATGTGTTATTCTGCATGCCACATACTGGCTGAATATCACACTGACACAAACCCTAGATATCCGAGTAATTGTCAAAATGACATTTTCCATAATGTCAGTGACGCAGCCATGTTTGAAGTTGGATTGGAATTCTGTGACCATGTTTTATTTACACCATAAATGGGATCATTCATGCAGAGCTTAAGGTTTACAGCTGTAGTAGATGAAAAAAAGCGACATCAAAAATACAAACATTAACAATGACAACCAGACAACCAATACTCTATATTCTTCCATAAAAACATTCAATGTGTTTAAGAACCATCAGTAATGTGAATGACGGTTGGTTGGTTGGTTTGTTGTTTAACGCCGCACTCAGCAATATTCCAGCTATATGACGGCGGTCGGTAAATAATCGAGTCTGGACCAGACAATCCAGTGATTGATATCATGAGCATCGATCCACGCAATTGGGATCAATGACATGCATCAACCAAGTCAGCAAGCCTGACCACCCGATCACGTTAGTCGCCTTTTACAACAAGCATAGTCACCTTTTACAGAAAGCATAGGTTGCTGAAGACCTCTTCTACCCCGGAATCCAATGACGGAAACATATTCTCACATTAATCATGACCCCTCTTAAGTTTTCTAAACCTCTTTCCTGAAGACATCCAACCAGCCTTAATGTTACCTTATAATCTTCTGTTGAGTGTTAAGACAGAAGTGAGTGAGTGAGTTGGGTTTAACCCCGCTTTTAACAGTATTCCAGTTATATCATGGCATGTCAGCTTAATGTGGGAGGAAAGCCCGCAGTGATGCAGGTCTCAAATGTTTACCGCTTCGGTGAAACCCACGCGCATGGGCATTGTGCTGACAAACCTAGAAACAAAATCGGCGTGAACCAGGATTTAAACTCACAATCATAAGTTTCTGGCATGCCCAAGCGATGCAACTCTGCACAGCAAATCGCGGAGCCTTGGACGACTGGGCCACCGGTGCCCCCTGTTAAGAGAGAGATTCAAATGACAATAAATATTAAATATATCTTGTGCATGTTCCAGAATATGAGAATGTGGATTTCTGAGTACACGTTGTCCTCCCAGTGCTGTGTTGGTTACGGCTGAACTGTCACTGTGGACACTCGCTCAGCCACCCCTGCAACACAATACAATGTCCTTCTTTACACACACTATAAACATAGCAACAAAAAACCTTTTCCATGTCCAATAGAAAATCTCTGCATAAAGCAGAGTCGATAGTACGATTCTGACCATATCATCATGAGCATGTGTTTTTGAAAGTCAAGTCACTTTTAGGCCTTCTTAAGGCCTTTCAATGCTCTTATTTAATTTATTGGGCCAAGTGCAACAAAAGCCATCAGAGTGAGTTAGTGAGTTGGGTTTAAGGTCGATTTTAACACTATTACAGTTATATCACGGTGTGTCAGCTTAATGTGGGAGGAAAGCCCCAAGTGATGCAGATCTCGGACGTTTACCACTTCGGTGAAACCCACGAGCACGGGTATGGTGATGACAAACCTAGAAACATAGTCGGAGCGAATCAGGATTCGAACCCACAATCATAGGTTTTTGGCGTGCCTAAGGGACAACTCTGCACAGCGAATTGCGGTGCCTTAGACGACTGGGCCACCCGTGCCTCCAAAGACATCAGAGAACACACTGCTGCTAAAAACTAATGATGGAAAAATATACACGTGCAGAGCCCACTTGCACAAAGCGATCTTATTGTAAGCCTATGTAAAGCATGGGAGTTATGATCGTCTTAGCGCTAAGACTGCTTTGTCCATGTAGACTCAGGAAAACAGTGAGTGAGTGAGCATAGTTGTTCGCCATTTTAAACACTATTCAAACTCTACTGTGGCAGGGGACACCAGGAATGGGCTTCACACTTTGTACCCATCTGGGTAATGGAACACAGCCTACAGCCTTCGCTCGTCATGCAGAAGACCCGGGTTTGATTACCGACATGGGTACAATGTGTGAAGCCCATTTCTGGTGTCCCCTGCCCTGATATTGCTGGAATATTGCTAAAAGCAGCGTAAAACCATACTCACTCCCACCCCTACACCTGGTTAAATATAATATATTTCCGTATAATATAGACATTTTTGTATCATTATGATGAATCGTATCATGCATATATATCCTTGTTTTCGTTAACATGTACAGAGAATGACATATTCTTACTGATAAAACCCAAAGCTTTTACTTGAGGACACTAGGTCTTCGATGGGTCATTTGGGTACTCGAGTCAGGTGGGTCCTGAGTAGGACCCGAATTCGCACAGGACTACATGGACCGTGGTTAGTCACGTGATTTGTTGTTTAATGACAACAACAATAAATGGCTACACTACAAGTCACTAATGTTGGCATTTCTTTCTCACTTTACACACATTCCTTCTGAGTTTTATTTGTTTGAGTAAAAATAAATTTCAAGTTAATGTATGCATGATCAGGTTGTTTTACACATGTGTCAAAATAATTTTAGCTACATCCCCAGTAAAACAATTCCCAATCTCAAACTAACTCTTGAGACCTACAGCGGGTACCTGGGTAGGGTCGGGTAATATGGGGTAGGGCTCCTCGTTTTGGGATCGTGAAGTTTTGGGAAAAAGCAGCACACAACGAAGGTACAATGATACACGATCAGCCAGGTCACACATTGAGACTCATACGACAATTGTGGCATGCTGGGATCGACCATGCACATGAATCCTTCTGTTTAATGCTTGATATCTTACAGGGCAGGGTAATGGTACATGCCAAGTTTGTATATTTTATTTCCAGTAGAATCTATCAAACAGTTCTAAAATATAAACAACAACTTAAAACGAAGACTTTAAATCTCTTGCACTATTCAGGGCATAATGAAGGCTGGCTGATTTACTGGTGAGTATATTCCACATATACACTGAAAATAACATATTTTATGGTAGCTTCTTCCACTACTGCATCTTTCTATGAGATGCAGCAAGAAAAGACTTTTTTGTTTACTTGTTGTTTAACACCGCAATCGGCAATATTCCAGATATATGACAGCCGTCTGTAAATAATCGAGGCTGGACCAGACAACCAAGTGATTGACATCATGAGCATCGATGTATGTAGTTGGGATATGATGACATGCATCAACCAAGTCAGCGAGTTTGACCATTGGATCCCATCAGTCGCCTCTTACGACAAGCATAGTTGCCTTTTACGGGAAGCATAGGTGGCTGAAGACCTATTCTACCCCGGATCTTCAAAGGTCATTGAAGAAATGAAGAAATCCTTTCTAATGACAGTCATCGGATGTGTACAGATGAATAAGAATAAGACTATGTCCATTTCAGCATGTTTGGGAATAGGTAAGGTCACATGTGTCTATAAAACTGATTTAATAGGTATTTGGGAAGCATTTTTATAATATCAGAGCATGAGTGATCTTTTACCCAAGATATATTTTCTCTTGAAATCCCAAAAATCTGCCCTTTTCACTCACAGTTCTTCCCAATTTGTCATGATACAATACCATGGGGCACAATGAGATACACTCGTGTCGCCCATTTGTCACAAAACATATCTCAATAGTAATGTCATGATACGATACATAGAAACTGGAAACTTTCCATGCATGCAGGCATAATAATCAAAGGTATGAAGAAAAGCCCAACCAAAATATATTTAGATCTTAATTAATCAAAGTGTGGCCTTAGTAGACAATAGTTTCACAATTATTCTTCAAGAAATATTACATGTGACCCCATGAATGTTGTCGTATCCCTATTGCATAGATCGATGCTCATGATGTCAATCACTGGATTGTCTGGTCCATACTCATTTATTTACAGACTGCTGTCATATAGCTGGAATATTGCTGAGTGCTGTGTTAAACAACAAACAAACAAACAAACACGTGACCCTAATACTGTAAAACGTGAAATTAATGCGTCTCCAAAAGACAGCGACCGCTGACCCCTAGCCAAAAATGCGACTTAATATGAATGCGACACCCACTCCTCTCAAGCATCAGTGGATTTATATCTAAAGAAAATTGTCCTCTGTCAGGTTTACAGGAGAATCCTCACCTTAATCCAACCTTACATTAATCCAATCACACACCAAATAGCACCGCTTATTAGCGCTGAGTAGAGTACTTCAGCTTAAACAATACGTGCGCACTGGCTCGTGTCGGCCTTTGATGCAGTCGCAAAGAGCAAAGACACCGTACTGGGTGGCGTCTGTCTGGACTTGCAGGTGTGATCAGTGATGACATAAGTGAGTAGAACGCTTGTCTTGACCCCAGCAGTGACAATTCACAGGATGTAATTAGTGTTTGAATGACATTGTTTATATACTTGTTACAAATGCTGCTCAATAAACAATGATGTGGAATACATAGTTGTTTGTTTTCAGCGTATGTCTAAGTTGGTGTTTCTGCTATCCAAAATGTCTCATTGTTGATATAAATGCGATGTTTAATAATGCGAGCAAAGACCACTCGCATTTTTCGCATTTAATTCATGCTCGCGTTAATTTCACGTTTTACAGTATATACCTGTATCGGTTTACATCGCTACATGAACTTAATTCAATGTTTTTATCATGGCACAGAGTATCATTATCCCAACATTCTGTGGATCGTTACACCCTCTGTCACATGTGAAAGTCTGTCTACCCTGCTGATGTTCCATCAAGAATGTCAGCCATTGGGACCCGTGAAGATCCGGGGTAAAATAGATCTTCAGCAACCCATGCTTGCCATAAAAGGCGACTATGCTTGTCGTAAAAGGCGACTAACGGGATCGGGTGGTCAGGCTCGTCGACTTGGTTGATACATGTCATCGTATCCCAATCGCATGGATCGATGCTCATGATGTCAATCACTGGATTGTCTGGTCCAGCCTCGATTATTTACAGACCGCTGTCATATAGCTGGAATATTGCCAAGTGCAGCCTTAAACTGAAAAAAATACCCCCCAAACCCCAACCTACCAGCTTAAAGTTCATTTTAAACAGTCTCCTGATTTCCTTAAGTATATCAAGGACTTGCTTAAACATGTATCATAGATGGATCGATGTTCATGGTGTCAATTACTGGATTGTCTGTTGTGCTGCGTTAAACAACAAACAAACAAACAAACAAACAAAATGTCAGCCATTGTGGCCAAGTAATCCTCTTTTTAGCTGTTTTTTTTACCACAATATTGAAGTGTTACTGAAGCCCCACATGTTCTAGAATCGTGACTGGGTTTTCACAGAAGAAGATACTAGCTCCCTTACCACACAGGTTGTCTCCAATCTTGATGTACAGGTAGCCATTATCACCGAAGTCAGTCCCCCACGAGTTTCTCACAATGTAGAAAGGCACATCTCCTGGAATGTGTGATGACATGTTACCAGGTATATAGAAATCATAAGTGAGTGAGTGAGTGAGTTGGGTTTAACACCGCTTTTAACAGTATTCCAGTTATATCACGGCGTGTCAGCTTAATGTGGGAGGAAAGCCCGAAGTGTGATGCAGGTCTCAGACATTTACCACTTCGGTGAAACCCACGAGCACAGGTATGGTGCTGACAAACCTAGAAACATAATCGGGGTGGACAGGGATTCGAACCCACGATCACAGGTTTCTTGCGTGTTCAAGGGATGCAACTCTGCACAGCGAATCACGGCACTTAAGATGACTGGGCCACCTGTGCCCCCCAGAAATCATAAGTGCATTTAGAGGGGAGTTTATTCATTTCCTGGAAAAGAAATAGGGGGTTCTTACAAGAATATAATTTTGGTGGGAAAAAAACAGAGTTGAAAGATCGTAAATTTCGTGGTTTATGGGAACAGCCTGAAATGATACAAAGGAAAATTATGTAATTACATATGCATATCATACACGACAGATATATTTTTTCAGAATTTAATTTCCCATAATTAAGAGTGCATATAACACATGAGGGCGTAATATTTACGAATAAATAAGTCTTGTGTATATTGATCAATCAGAAGGGGTCTAATTGGGATTGATCACTTGCATATATGTTAGCAAATATCTCTGTGGGCACTTATTAGAGCGGGGTGCTTATTACGTCAAATACCCCGTTTTGAAGCATACTTAACATTTATAGATCCTTTGAGATTTTCAGCATAATTAAATAATATGGACTAATATCTGCATATGATTGCTTATTCTTGTTGAATATCCTGTTTAAGCTCAGCTGAATATTGTGTTTATCATAACTATATTTGACTAAAATTGACCAAATTTGTGCAACTCTGGTTGTCACAGATCACATGACATCATCTGTCTAGGAGATAAACAATATTTGTTTCAGATCTAATACAGAGAAGTTGAATGTTCGATCCCCCGGAGTAAAGATGATGAGTGTCTGTGTCTGGTCAGCTAATGAAATAAGGCCACGTGAAACTCACGGAAGTCAAACATGGGGTGACGTGAAATGGCTTTAAAAGTCGCATTCAAGATTATTACACTTATAGAGTGACGTGCATGCATATGTGTGTGTGTGGCTGCTTGTGCTAGTCCAGACTAATGCTAATTTTATAGTGCTAGCTCACTGAGATACCATGCCACAGTTCAACATGAATACCCCACTCAGAAACAGTATACTGACTCTGAGCCGGCCAGTCCTTGGATCGATGCTCATAATGTCAATCACTGGATTGTCTGGTCCAGACGTCATTAATTATAGACCGTCGTCATATAGCTGGAATTTTGCTGAGTGCGGCGTAAAACAACAAACAAACAAACAAACAAACAACAAGCAAGACATGATGATTTTCTCATCATTAATCACTGCAATACCGTTCATATGTGTGATATCGAAGACTCGGTTCGATTCCCCACATCGGTACAATGTGTGGAGCCCCTTTCTGGTGTTCCCCGCCGTGATATTGCTGGAATATTGCTAAAAGCGGCGTAAAACAATACTCACTCTCTCATGTATGTGACTGTGTGTGATGCCTAAACTCAATCAGTAAATTATGATCTGATTGGTTGGTTGGTTGGTTTGTTGTTTAACGCCGCACTCAGCAATATTCCAGCTATATGACGGTGGTCTGTAAATAAGCGAGTCGGGACCAGACAATACAGTGATTGATATCATGAGCATCAATCCACCCAATTGGTATCGATGACATGCATCAACCAAGTCAGCGAGCCTGACCACCCGATCCCGTTAGTCGCCTTTTACGACAAGCATAGTCACCTTTTACGGCAAGCATGGGTTGCTGAAGACCTATTCTACCCCGGAATCTTCATGGGTCAATTATGATCTGAAAGATTAAAGGTATGCAATTTGAAAAAGATAAACGGGTTATTGCAACTGCAAGCAACTCTTATGATAATGGTAATTTATTGCGCTGTGATGTAGTAAAATGGCAACGTTACCTCGACGGTCATAACCCACGATCTGAACAGCATGGTTGTTGACGTTGGAGCAGTGGAACTTGATGATGCCCCCGATGTAGTTGTTCCATGTAGAGGCGTCTACCGTCACAGTCAGCGGCCCAACGGCATACAGCATCTGCACCATCTCCTCCTCCTTCCCCGTGAGACTGCCATCATCAAAACAACTTCCACTACATACACCACATTTATGTACGCTTGTCAGAGTCTCAAGCCATGCAAGTCTTTTCCTAATACATGTATATGATATCTATTATATGGAAACACACTCCGCTAGTAATCTCTATTTTTATATTCCTAATAAGCCTAAATGATATTTCTAATATGGAAACACACCAGGGTAATAATCTCTATTTTTATATTTCTAATATGGAAACACAGAAGGGTTATAATCTCTATTTTTATATTTCTAATAAGCCAAAATGATATTTATGATATGGAAACACACTCAGCTAATAATCTCATTTTTTATATTCTTTATAAGCCTAAATGATATTCATAATATGGAAAGACACAAGGGTAATAATCTCTATCCTATAATATCATTCGTTTACAATGTTTTAGATGTACTTATGCTCAGGGAAGTACTGGTAGAAAGCAGGTGTGAACAAGAAAACAGCGTCATCACTATCCCCCGCTCTGGGGCACATGAGAATTATTTTTTTCTTCATATAGTAGTGAATATAAATTATAAAACAGAGAGCCCTATAAAGCCTCAAGAAGACATAGGCACTTAGGTTGCTTAATGTCATCAGAAAAAATGATTAAATGTTAAATTGATACACACAAAAGGTGCAACACTTATAAAAATAGAAGCAATAACATATACGTTACTCTCTATTTGACCAAGGTTATTGGTTAGCAAATATCCATAAAACAGATCTTGGCCCACTTGCACAAAGTGATCTTAGCGCTAAGATGATCATAAGTCCCATACTTTAACATTGGCTTACAATAGTCATAGCACTAAGATCGCTTTGTGCAAGTGGGCCCTGGTGTAAAATCTTACTGTTGACAGGTGTAATTGGCAACCCTCACTCCTGGTGATGTGCTGTTGCCAAGGTGACAGACTTGTGTTTTGTCAACAAGGGGGTAGTCCTTCTCATAAACAATCGTCTTCTTATACTGGGAGGGAATGTGAAGAGTGAATATTTAAATCAACATTGAAAACATTTCAAATTTTCATTCAACAGATTTTCATTGTCAACACAATGAGAAACAGGGGCAACATTTGCAAAAAATATATTGTCATGCTTGATTTGATCAAATTTCCAAACAGAATCTGTAGAAGAATAAAATTATAAAAGGTGAGAGTTTTAAGACAACAAGTTCAAGGTTTGACACATCCACCCTAGGCAAGGGAGTTAACTGACTGTAAAATTCCAGTTTCCACCCTTGCCGAACTAGGCTGGAATTTCTGGGCTCGACAGTAGCACCACCAGTGGCTGTTACGAGTTATGTCCCTTCTATGCCCCTCCTTTTGACCAATCAGATTCCACCTCTCATATCACGTGCATTTGCTTCAAACAAAATGGCATCGCCCAGACAAGACGATCTGATTGTTAATCAAGATCTATATTGTAATAAAATGGGTCTTACCAAAAATCATGAGCACATTGATTAAGAACATTAAAGATTTGGAAAAATCTGTCCACGCCCAGTTAACGGTACACATCCTATGTAAATCCTGCAATCAACTGAAAGCTGCATGGCAGTCGCCATGTTGTTTATGAACCAAATGATGATTTTGCAACGCAATTTTGATTGCACTATGCATAGACTCATTAGTCCAGCCAAAGTATAACTCCAAGGGTGGAAACAAGACTCTTATAGTCAGTTTAAATACCTTGCCTTGGGAAGAGGAGTTGGGAGAGAAAGAAGCAAAAGCTGACAAAATGTGATCTTGGACTGCTTTGTATATCGTATGTTGACGCCAATACCTTCAGTTCAGAGTGAGTTGGGTTTAACGCCGCTTTTAACAGTATTCTAGTTTTATCACGGCGTGTAAGCTTAATGTGGGAGGAAAGCCCGAAGTGATGCAGGTCTCAGACGTTTACCACTTCGGTGAAACCCGCGAGCAAGGGTATGGTGCTGACAAACCTAGAAACATAATCGGGGTGAACCGGGATTCGAGCCCACAATCATAGGTTTCTGGCATGCCCAAGGGACACAACTCTGCACAGTGAATTGTGGCGCCTTAGACACTGGGCCACCTGTGCCCCCCGTTCAGTTTAGAGAACACTATTCATACTAACTGTTCGGGTAGAATGTGTATCTAATATTTTCTTTCCGTTGATCATTTATTTGTGTAAGGCTACTTTAAAAAATGATAGGCAATTGTTCTAAGGGGTCTTTACCCTATTCTCAATGTCATGAAGTCATTCTACCATGAAATTCCAAATTCTTGATTCTGATTGGTCAGTCAGAGGTTTCAAATCTCAACAACCACCTGATTGAAACAGCTGATTTGATGTGACCTAGGTTACCAAGCTGTATGTGGATTAAACATCCAGATCTAAAGCACTGCATGCTCTGTTCCAAATTCACTTTACCGTGGTTAAATCTACAGAACCTCATCTTCCAGAGGCAAGAGAGTTAACTGACTTTAAAAGTCCAGCTTCCACCCTTGCCGAACTAGGCTGGAATTCCTTGGCCTGATCGTAGCACCACCAGTGGTTATTACGAGTTACGTCCCTTCTAAACCTCTCCTATTGACCAATCAGATTCCACTTTTCGTATCACTTGATTCAAACAAAATGGCGGCGCCCAGTCAAGACGATCTGATTGATAATCAAGATCTATATTGTGATAAAATGGGTCTTACATCGTGAAGTGCATCAAATCACTTGAGCACCTTGATTGAAAACATGAAAAGATTTGAAAAATATCTGTTGACAGCGAATTGGCCGTGCACATGCTTTCCAAATCTGGGAATCGACCGAAATCAGCACGACAGTTTACGAACAAGATTTCAAATTTTGTTGCGCAAATTTGATTTGACTATGCATAGACTCGTTAGCCCAGCCAAAATGAAACTCCATAACACCAGCCTAGTTCGGCAAGGGTGGAAACTGGACTTTTAAAGTCAGTTAACTCTCTTGCCTCAGGAAGATGACAGAACCTAGGTCAACATCAAAATCACATCCTATTTATAAATGGCAGGGACAAGAAAGAAAATGTCTTTGTTAAAATCCAACACTCACATGTGTCCCGAGGATCAATCTGCCCAATTTGTGTAAATGTGGTAGTCAGATGAGGAGTCCAGAGTGTGAGTGAGTGAGGGGGTTGGGTTTAACGCCGCTTTTAACAGTATTCCAGTCATATCACGACGTATCAGCTTAATGTGGGAGGGAAGCCCGAAGTGTGATGCAGGTCTCAGACATTTACCACTTCGGTGAAACCCATGAGCATGGGTATGGTGCTGACAAACCTAGAAACAAAATCAGGATGAACCGGGATTCGAACCCACAATCATAGGTTTCTGGCGTGCCCAAGGGACGCAACTCTGCACAGCGAATCGCGGCACCTTAGACGACTGGGCCATCCGTGCCCCCTCAGGAGTACAGAGATTTGTAAATCCACACCAGATATCTAATCATAAACCTACTGCCACTTTTGCCTTTGTATTGTAGGTATCTTTCTGTCTCGTAATAACCTTTTGGGAGGTTTCACTTATTCCTAGTAAGACCTCATCCCAGGTATGAGGTTTTACTTTTTGATAGTAAGACCTGATAATTTGAGTAGCAGATGGAATATGGACTTGGGTTTGAATTCAAACATACAATGTCCTAAATTCGAAGACAAGAAATGAAACATTTTCATTATGGATGACGGGAATCAAACCTGCAACCTCACATATCATGTTAAGATTTGTAATCCACTGTTCCAACTGAGCTACTGGGGAAGGTAATGAGAGAATGTTCAATTTTAGATGTCATGACTTAGTTTTGTCTATGCTGCATGTGTTTCTTTCTCTCGCACGCTTTGATCCCATTCCTTTATACCACGACACACTGTATTGTATCACTATAAAATACCTCAATTTTTTCTTGCATTTAGACGTTTTATAAGTAAGATAAAACACTCCTCTTAGGGTATGGTCGTGGAAGTAAGACAATCGGGTATCGGTAATGTCTTACTTCCGCAACCATAACCTTGGAGTCATGCTTAATCCTTCACATGACATCATTCAATAACTGACTTCAAACCGCCATGAATCATTGTCTTACCATGGAACATTGTCTTACCATGAATCATTGTCTTACCATGAATCATTGTCTTACCATGGAACAGAGTCTAACATACTTTTGTCATCCAGTACAGAGCAGAACAAGTGTCGCCCCCCTTGCAGCCATTGTTCTCGGAGCAGTCGATGACTTCCTGTACGGACAGGTCAGGGACAGCTTGACCAGTGGTCTTGGCGTACATGCTTTCCACAGTCTCGGTAGCACTGAAGGCCCTGGAGGGAAGACAAACAGGCAAAAATGTTTATGGAAGACTTATGGATTTCAACGTTATGTTTCTGTACAGATAGTAGTACTGTTGATGATCACTTGCCATCTTCCTGAGGCAAGGGAGTTAACTGACTGTAAAAGTCCACTTACCACCGTTGCCGAACTAGGCTGGTCTTTCCAGGCTCAATCGTAGCGCCACCAATGGCTATAATTAAGAGTTATGTCCCTTTTATGCCCCACCTATTGACCAATCAGATTCCACCTCTCATATCATATGCATTAGCTTCTCACAAAATGGCGGTGCCCAGTCAAGACGTACCGTATATATCCGCAGATAAGCCAAATTTTGAGGACCAGAAAAAAGATTCTGTAGAAAGGGGTCAGCTTATCCACGGGATACACTTTCATGATAGTATTTTTCAGATCATGACCTGTCAGAAACATCGTCTGAATGACGGTTCGATAGATTACAACTTCCCGAAAGTTTGGAAGTTGCCATGACTACAGCCATTATTGTTATAAATGATCAATAAAGTTATTATTATACACCAATGTTGTCATTATTTTTAAAAATTATGCATGTTACTATTTCCGATCATAAGTTTTCAATTGAATGTTTCAATTCAAGGTTCAATCTTTACATATAACAATATAATCCGCAGATACAATATATAATCGGTTATCTACGGGTCATATCATGTTCTTTCATATTTCAATGGTCAAGTTAATACCTCAGCTTATCTACGGGGTCGGCTTATATGCAGGCATATATGGTACTGATCGATGATCAAGGTCTATATTGTAATAAAACGGGTCTTACCTTGCAAAGTGCATCAGATCATGTGAGCACATTTTTTAAAAACAAAAAGATTTGAAAAATATTTGTTGACGCCCAGTTCACAGTACACATCCTTTGCAAATCCTGCGGTCGACCAAAATCTGCAGGTTGAAATCCATCTTGTTTATGAACCGGATGTCGATTTGGTTATACGATTTTGATTGGAATAACCATAGACTTGTTAATCCAGCCACAATATAACACCATCATACCAGCCTGGTTCGGCAAGGGTGGAAACTGGACTTTTACAGTCAGTTATCTCCCTTGCCTCAGGAAGATGATCACTTGCTTGAGACTACATGTTCTAAAATGCCACTTAAAGATATCAAATGCTTTGAGTTGTAAACATGAATAAACAGGTCATTGACAGATTTGGCATGTTAGGAGTAATTGGAATCAAGAAAAAACATTTTAATGAAAGTGAAAATTTGATGCTAGACAGAGCAATACCTGTTTTGAAAATAAATTGGTCACAAAATGTAAGTCCTTGGAATATTTTTATACTAACACTTTTTATGTATTTTGTTTTCTTTTATCATTTAAGGTTGTGTCAGACAATTATTAGAGGAATTGTTTGATAGGCATGACAATTTAGACACAATTTATTGTGTCTAGTTTGTAATTAATAGAGGTCCTTGTAATAAAAAAGTTAGTGCTCTGATCCTACAGATGATCTCTGTCAATGAGATATTTTCAACAGAACATACCGTATTCAACATAATAAGCGATATCAAAATTAGAAATAGGGGGCTCTTATTGGAATATTATTTTGGTGCAAAACAACAATAATGTCCCATAATTAAGGGTGCATATAACACACATATTACATTGATCAATGTGATACATTGATCAATCGAAAGAGGTGCTAATTGGGATTGTTCACTAGCCAATTGTTTAGCAAATATCGCCGAGGGCGCTTATTAGAGCGGGGCGCTTATTACGTCGAATACGGTAATTCAACTTGGAATGAAAAGCACTGATACACAGGCAATGATTTGGGGTCACTTAAAACATGATAGTTCCCTTCAGGTGGGATGTTTTGGGATGTCGCAGTGGGTCACAACCAGAATATGTCGTGACATGTTTGTTATTCTAATGGGATCGTGTTGGTGAACCGTCAAAATTATTAGTCACTCCACTCCAGGCTGGCTGTCATAACTGTCAGACATGTCGGACTGATCATGTCAAAGGTCACTGCGACCTACCAGCAGGCACCACATGACTTCTGATCCTTAATTGCGGAGATGATGCTCTTGTTACGCCTGCAATAAACATACAAAACTACTTGTCATCTGCTACCGTTCAATGAAGCATATAAACCACCATCCTCAATTATTTACTAATATTTAACATATAATGTATATATATTTAAAAGAAAAGGGGAATCTGTCAATATACCTCAGATACGCAACTATCATAAGTTGCGTGAACTAACTTTGTATGTGACGTAGCAGTCTGTCTGTGTGTCCCCCTCACCGAGTCGACAAGTGCACATAGCCCGGCTGTGTAATGTCATGTTGAGTGGTGTATATGAAATGCTATAGAAGTCAGAAGGAGTTCAGAGTTATCAATATTAACATGGAAAAAACTGGACCTATTCACCTGATAGCTTCATTTCAGAAGTGACGTAACCATCTCACCTCTTTTATCACTTAGAGAGGGAGTATGGTTTAATGCCACTTTTAGCAATATTCAAGCAATATCACGGTGGAGGTCACCAGAAATAGGCTTCACATGGTATACCCATGTGGGAATAGAACCCGTTCTTCGGCCTGACGAGCGAACACTTTAACCACTAGGCTACCCCACCGCCCCCCACTTACATAGTACAGAAATTCTCTCTGCTGTGACCTTAATTGCAATCAACAAGCTATCAAAATGCTTCTTCTGAACAAGACCTCGGCATACATGATACATCTACATTCAATGTTTTGTTTTGTTTGTTATAGAACGCCACACTCATCAATATTCCAGCTATATGACAACACTCCAAAAATAATCAAGTCTGGACCAGACAATCCAGTGATTGACATCATGAGCATCGATCCATCTATGATACATGTATAAGCAAGTCCTTGATATACTAAACCAAACCATGAGACTGTTTAAAACAAACTTTAAGCTGGAAAGATGGGGTTTGGGGGGTATTTTTTTCAGTTAAAGGCTGCACTTGGCAATATTCCAGCTATATGGTGACGGCCTGGACCAGAGAATCCAATGATTGATATTGTGGGTAACGATCTACGCTGATGAGGTGCAATGACACACCATCAACCAAATCATCAAGTCTGACCACCCAGTCCATTAAGTTGCCTCTTACGACCAGCATAGGTGGGGGACTGGGGGGTAATTCTAATGCAGCATCCTCACAGGTGGAAAGATGTATTGAGAAGATGGAGGGATGTCCTGATTGGGGCTGAAACAGGTAACTCGGGTACTCGGGTCGGGTGGGTACTGAGAAGGATCCGGGTACCCACGGGACTACCCAGACTCGTGCTTAGTCACGTGATATATTGTTTAATGACAAAAATTATCTGAAACTCTATGTTACACTACAAGTCACTAATGTTCACATTTCTTTCTGACAATGTACACATTCCTTCTTACTTTATTATGTTTGAAAAAAGATAAAACTTAAGTCAACTTCAGTGTATGCATGACCAGATCGTTTTATATGTGTATCTAAATACATTTTGCCAGAGCTACGGTTAAACTATTCCCAATGGGACATTATGTACCCAAATCTTGAGACCTACAGCAGGTACCCGGGTAGGGTCGGGTAATAGGGGGGTGGGTACCCGGGTAGTATATTTGGACTCGTCCCAGCCCTAGTCCTGATGATGCATAACGTTCCAGGTTGTATTTAAGATGGCTTACAATAAGACAAGTTTAGTATTCGTACATGATATTGATGTTTCTTTCAATCATGAAGGACCAATATATTTTGATTGGATTATTTTTAGGGCCATGACATTAAAACTTAAAATGATTTTGGTGGCAAATGAATCCATGTATTTATCATTATAGAATGGAAACATAATTATGATAATATGCTGGTTAATCAAGGAAGGTGAGGTGAAACAGGGTTTAACATCACCTTCAGGATTATTGCACTTATATAGCAACATGCATGAAAGCGTGTGTGTGCGTGCGTGTGTGTCTGTGTGTATGTGTGTCTGTTTGTACTAGTCCGGACTAATGTTGATTTTATAATGCTAACCCTCTGAGATACCATGCCGCAGTTTAACATGAATACTCCACTCGGACACAGTATACTGACTCCGAGCCCACCAGTCCCCTTTTATCCCCTTAATGACAAGCCCGGACCTTCCACTCCCAAGACAGAAGCTCAACCACAAGACCACGGAGGCGGTATCATGAGGCAGTTAATCAAGGAGGAATAATACATCACTCATCAAATGATTATCACGTTCTATGCCCTGTGCCTGTCCAGTCTGCTAGTAAGACCACAACCCTGTCCGAGGCATCACTTTGGGCAGTGTAATGGTGACTTACCGTATTCGACGTAATAAGCTCTCAAAATTAGTAATAGGGGGCTCTTATTAGAATATTATTTTGGTGAAAAAAAAACAGAGTTGAAAGATGGATTTTGTGGTTTATGCTGACAGCCTGAAATGTTTATATACGAGAGATACATTTTTCCAGAATTAAATTGCCCATAATTAAGTGAGTGAGTTGGGTTTAACGCCGCTTTTAACAGTATTCAAGTTACATCGCGGCGTGTCAGCTTAATGTGGGAGGAAAGCTTGAAGTGATGCAGGTCTCAGACGTTTACCACTTCGGTGAAACCAACGAGCACGGGTATGGTGCTGACAAACCTAGAAATATAATCGGGGCGAACCGGGATTCGAACCCACAATCGTAGGTTTCTGGCGTGCCCAAGGGACGCAACTCTGCACAGCGAATCGCGGCGCCTTAGACGACTGGGCCACCCGTGCCCCCCCCATAATTAAGGGTGCATATAACACACGAGTGCGTACTACATGCGAATAAATATGTGTTGTGTACATTCATCAATCGGAAGGGGTGCTAATTGGTATTGTTCACTAGCCAATATATTACAAATATCGCTGTGGGCGTTTATTACGTCGAATACGGTATTACAATGGAAAATCACGAACACCCCCATGACAACAGAAAGACATGCAGCACATTGCTATGTTTATCTGTGTAGTCTTACCAGTCCACATAGTCCGGAACAGCTGTCTTGAGCAGTTTCAATGAAGGCATCGCCATGTCAACCGTTATCCTATCTCCATGCAGACTTGAAGACTTCAGTCCTCTCAGGTATTGCTCTGTAAAAATCATGTTACTGTTTAGTGGAGCAAATATCAGACATCCATCACAAGTGTTTTTCAATATCTAAAAATTCAATTCTCAGTTAACTGTTCGCGGTGATCTGTAATTTGGTGGTAACTATGGTAACGTGATGAACATGCCCACTGTTGTCCGGAGATTGAAGAAGAGTATTACACTAGGCCTCTTGGTTAACTACTTAACTCATAAGCGGCTATGCTTGTAGTAAAAGCCGACTAAGAAGGATCGGGTGGTCAGGCTCGCTGACTTGGTTGAAGCATGTCATCGATCCCAATTGCGTGGATCGATGTTCATGATGTTAATCACTGGATTGTCTGGTCCAGACTCGACTATTTACAGACCACCGTCATATTATAGCTGGAATATTGCTGAGTGCGGCATGAAACATCAAACAAACAAACTTGGCGCAAATGTAGGTCAATAGGCGAAGGGAAGTAACTCTTACAGTCTTAGCGCTAAGGTGATCATAACTCCCATACTTTAACATAGACTTATGACTGTGGTAACGCTAAGGTGATCGTAACTCCCATACTTTAACATAGACTTATGACTGTGGTAACTCTAAGGTGATCGTAACTCCCATACTTTAACATAGACTTAGGACTGTGGTAACTCTAAGGTGATCGTAACTCCCATACTTTAACATAGACTTATGACTGTGGTAACGCTAAGGTGATCGTAACTCCCATACTTTAACATAGACTTATGACTGTGGTAACTCTAAGGTGATCGTAACTCCCATACTTTAACATAGACTAAGGACTGTGGTAACTCTAAGGTGATCGTAACTCCCATACTTTAACATAGACTTATGACTATGGTAACGCTAAGATGATCGTAACTCCCTTACTTTAACATAGACTTATGACTGTGGTAACTCTAAGGTGATCGTAACTCCCTTACTTCAACATAGACTTATGACTATGGTAACGCTAAGATGATCGTAACTCCCTTACTTTAACATAGACTTATGACTGTGGTAACTCTAAGGTGATCGTAACTCCCATACTTTAACATAGACTTAGGACTGTGGTAACTCTAAGGTGATCGTAACTCCCATACTTTAACATAGACTTATGACTATGGTAACGCTAAGATGATCGTAACTCCCTTACTTTAACATAGACTTAGGACTGTGGTAACCCTAAGATGATCATAACTGCCATACTTTAACATAGACTTATGACTGTGGTAACCCTAAGATGATCGTAACTCCCATACTTCAACATAGACTTAGGACTGTGGTAACGCTAAGGTGATTTTAACTCCCACGCTTTAAAATAGACTTATGATCATCATCATGAGTATTTAACACTTTTAACTGTTTGTTTGTCATTCTAGAAGTTGATGAGTAAACAAGAAAACATACAACATTATGGAAGTTCTGGTCTATTGTATTAGAGACGTTTCAATGTACTTACATTGTTCTCAAGCTGGTCGTACAACCAAGTGATGAAAGGCCTGATACATTGTGAATAACAATAACAGGTAATGGATAACAAGTAGCACACAGGTCGTTAGATGAAGCCAGATGACTGAGATGCTAAGATGCTGTGACAGGCTTGATTGGATTTGAATCAAAGGAGTCTATTGCTTTTGATGGAACAAAGTTAGGTATATTGTGTTAATAAAATTAGGGATTACCATATTCGACGTAATAAGCGCCCTTATTAGAATATTATTTTGGTGAAAAAAAAGAGAGTTGAAAGATAAATTTATACGTGGTTTATGCTGACAGCCTGAAATGTTAATATACGAGAGAGATATTTTCCCAGAATTTAATTGCCCATTATGTGTATTATAAGCGTATAAATAAGTCCTGTGTACATTGATCAATTGGAAGGGGTGCTGATTGGGATTGTTCACTTGCCAATATATAAGCAAATATCGCTGTGGGTGCTTATTAGAGCGGGCGCTCATTACGTTGAATATGGTATAATGAGGGTGAATGTGAGATTCAACCCAGGGTCAGTGAATCCTGGCACCTGGTGTGGCTATTTGAGGAACGCAACTCTGACATAAAAACTCACTTTCAAATTCTTCTTGCATGAGGTCCGAAAACTTGTTGACTCCATAAACAACTGTTTCATTCTGGTGGGCTTTATTCAGATGAGTGTAATGTTTCAAATTATTCTGAAAAAAATCAATAAAATGGATTTTTAAATAATGTTGATAGCTGAAAAAAATGAAAATATTTTCTATAGTACAACATCAAAGTTTAAAAGCTTTTATATGTTCTCTGTTCATAAGTCAGTGATTTTGTTATATAAGATTCTTTGGGTCACACTGTCAGGTGTGCATGGAGAGATATTTATAAAGGCTCAGCCTGTTTATCAATTCCCTTTCACTGTACCAAGTGGAAATAAACATTGTTTTAAAAAAAAAGAAGGTGTGTATGTCGAAAAAAGTGTATTCAAAATCACACACAAAACAAAAATACATTAAAAAATCATTGTTAATACTATATATAGGCCTACTGTTAATATTTACTTCAAACATCAAACCTCTGACAGATGTCTGTGGCAATCTTTATATCATTAATGTTGAAATTGAATTGTTTGCTTTGACCACACAGTGGTCTTCAGTCATGAGACTTAATGCCAATTTCAAATATCGTTAGTCGGATCACAAACCTGGGAATTAAATTTTCAACCCATTACATACTTGATTTGGCATCTTTTTAACTTTTATTTCAAATAATTTAAGTTGCCTATATTCTAGCACAGGAAACTAAAGTCTAAGCTATTGTCTAGTACCATCACTTGCAATAATCAAGCATGATGTAGCATGTCTAGGAAATTGTGGAATTAAAGATTCATTTGTAAAACACTAATAATTTAAAGCCTCAGGTTCAGGTGCTCCTCATGTTAAAATTTGTTTGGACATTTTCAAAATGTAATTCGCAATAGTTGCACTACATATAGTCTACACTTCCAAATTTGGCTCCGCACATTTTTTCCTCATGTTATCAACAATGAATCTAAATCACATCCTTGATCACCAGGTCATATCCTTGATCAAGTTTAGTTTGAAAAGCTAGAAAATATGTCTTGTAGTGTTTGATAAAATATATGTTGATGGCTTCAATTTGGGATACAGACATATATAGCCATCAGAGTAATAAAACAGAACATAAGTAACCCGTTAAGGTAGGGCTAAGTATAATCATAATAATCAAATGCATCATATTTGAAACGTAGAAATTAGAAACCTTGAAAACTTCAAATCGATGCCAGAATTCTGGTGAGTTTTCTTCATAGGTTTTCTTGTATGTTTGTATAAACTGTGTAAACTGTCCATAGTGCGTGTCGTGCAATGCAAAGGTGACTGTGCAAATCAACCACGCCGGCAAAAGAAACTGTAATTTAGCATCCATGAGTTTGATGTATCACATGATACAATTTTAACTTCCTGGTATTGTGTATGCGAAACAAAAGGTACATATAAGCCAGGAATTATTCTTCAGTATATCCTTTGATAATCTAAATGTAATTAGCAGTGACGATTTGTTTTAAAAAAGGATGCATAATTCCAATACTCATCAAAGTGTTTACTTTATCATATGAGACAGTATTTGATACCTATTTTTATCATTTCCTTTTTAGCCCAGCCATAGCAATTTACACTTCCGATTTGCGCGCGCACCTCTCCTACTTCCTTTTCACATTGCCAGCCAAAATGGCACATCAGGTTTCCAAGAAAAGGAAGGTTCGAACAGTATTATATACAAATCTAAGTAATTTTGTCCTCAAATAAACACAAAAATTAAAACTCTGTTCACTACTCTGTATACGTATGGGTGTTTCAGATCTGTTTCAGTTGTAAGTAATAAGATGTTAGTCGATTTGCAAAGGTGCCGTACTCCAGGGCATGGACGATATAGTGTTTACAGCAGTGCACGTCAGATTATTTCACACCTGTTGATGTCAGGTTTGATTTTATGAATGATTGGCCCTAATACAATAGTTGTCAGCTGTACAAGGGTTTTAATACCCGACTGATTGAACAAAGACCACGTATTGCCATTCGTATAATCATCGGTGTATCCTAATTTCGTGCATCCGAAGTTCGGGGATCTAGTATTAATATGAAACTACGACTTACAACTCTTATTGGATCAGAATAATCGAGTAATATTAAATATTTGCTCTTCCAATGTAGGCTTATTTAAGCCTTACCCTTACGAGAGTGAAAATATTTCATCGAATTCACATACAAGATAAAAATTGATGCAACTGATAATTAAATATTCATCACGTTGTGATGATTCTTGTGATGTAAACAGATGGTTAGCTTGAATCATTAGGATTAATTAAAATGTTGAATGCTTGTTTAGTTCGCTGAAATCTTTGGCAACAGATTTAATTAAATTCCAACTTGCACACAGGCTCCAGTAAATCTCTGCACATCTGATCTGTAATTTCATCTAGCACTGAGTTTTGTATTTGCTGTACATGACACTTAGCTGTACTGGTTATATCTCTGAGCTACCTGCTTATTAAATTTTTCAAACATTTGTTAAACACACATTAGAGTAGGGCTGGCTCTCGATACAGATCAAAGAGATCGACTATCTTTAACTTAATATTGATAAATTATTGATAAATGTCAGAAGTAACTTTGAGCAAATATGAAAAAAAGTCCGAAAGAAATCAACAACTTAATGCCACTGAGTAGTGACACATTTATGTATGGATTACTTTGTGGACATCTTAAATTAATAATAATACAGTAACAGTTGCTTTCCATCTGTGGCAATTGACATGACTGACAATAACAAGTCCATTTGGGTAAATTAAAACTTGATTTCATTACAGTTACGATATTATCATATTGATTATTGATGACACAGTTTTCATATAGATAATCGTTTATATTTCTCCCCATCGGCGGTAATTCTGATTATCGATCTTTTTAGCCTGAGTGATTGGAGAAATGAGTAAGAGAATGATGAGCGTGGTCACTCTTTCAGTATTGATAGAAAATAGTGTGGTACTCAGTTTCTATTCAAATTGTAACGGTTCTTTCAAACATTTTAGGAATTTTTTTCACATCTGACCGAGGGACAAATGATGTAAAGCTAACACCATCTTTCGACTGCAATAATTGTTGATGATACCACTCTAGCCTGATGTCCCTTTTTGTCAAAATTTTGTAAACATGGTAAAAGATAATAATACTTAAAGTAAAATTTTCTTGTCTTAGACATTTCCAATTTTCTTCATTCATACTCTGAAATCCATCTATAGTTATTACATATTAAAATTCTTGTACCACACTTCAACATGCAGATGTCAAGTATGTTTATAGTCATGAGACCATAAAAGTATATTTGCCATGAGTCCACAGAGCTCACAAGTAGATTGGACTCGGGTAAATCTCTGCACATAAGTATTATATTGATAATTTCCGTACATTACCCCTATTAGGAAGGGTGCCTGATACTGGTTAGTTTCTAACTACTTCTCATTACTATGGGCTTTCTTCTCACTAAAAGTTACAAATATTTGTTAGGCACAAACATGAAAGTGTGATAATGATGGGACAGTGTAGGATTGCAGGGTTTCAGATTGGTTTACTTTCAAGGACATTGCCTGGTTCTGATACAAAATGTACAAAGAGGCCTTTTCAAATTTGGTAACGATATAGAAGCATGTCCTGTCAAAAGTTATACATGTACCATGAAAATGTCCGGATGCCAACAAAATCACTTGGATGATCTTGATTTGGTGCCATATTTCTGTGCAGAGTTGCTTCCCTTTGATACAGGGATCTGCTGATCATGAGTTCACATACCACCAGTGTGTAATTTGTCAGTGCTGTCGTTCGGGAACTACAGTACTTGACTACTTTAATTTGTGCAAGCACCTTCAGATACTATGTGACACCTGCAGATAAGGAACATTTGATACTTGGACAGTTCTGGCTACCTCGAACTGTTCACTTGTTCTGTTTTCATTTTACAGTTGATCGATTACCCAATTTCAGATCTTTCCCAATCCTGCATGATCTCGACGATCAAATCAATTACAATACATGGACAGATCTTTCCAAAGCTTCTCACTTCTGACAAAAGGGACAAATGATGCAAAGCTAACACCATCTTTCGACTGCAATCATTGTTGATGATACCACTCTAGCCTGATGTCCCTTTTTTCATGTGTTAAGTGTATCTGATAAGAAACTGACAGATTTGTCCATAAACAGTGTATTCGTAGTTTAGTTGAAAGCCTCGACAACATGCAGGTCTGCTGTCTCATGGCCTGAAGCATTCTTTTACTTTTAGTCTGTAGTAAACCGGGGTTGAAACTTTCTGTATGGCCTGATTTTCTCAGAACAAAGTTTAGTATGTTAGCAAATTTGTTGAAGGCGTCATACTTAATAGATTAAATATTTGATTTTCATTCTTGCCAACATTTTCTTTGTAGTTTGTGGCTGATGGAATATTCAAGGCCGAATTGAATGAGTTCCTGACTCGGGAGCTGGCCGAGGATGGCTACAGTGGCGTGGAGGTCCGTGTGACCCCAACCAGGACTGAGATCATCATCCTGGCCACCAGGACACAGAACGTGCTGGGCGAGAAGGGCAGGAGGATCCGGGAGCTCACCTCGGTGGTCCAGAAGAGGTTCAACTTCCCTGAAGGGACTGTTGAAGTAAGTTGCAGTTATACACAAGAGATTAAAACAAAAACACTTTAAGATGTTAATTGTTTGTTTGTTGTTTAACACCGCACTCAGCAATATTCCAGCTATATGACGGCGGTCTGTAAATAATAGAGTCTGGGCCAGACAACCCAACGATTGACAACATAAGTATCGATCCACGCAATTGGGATCGATTACAGGCATCAACCAAGTCAGCGAGCCTGATCACCCGATCCCGTTAATTGGCTCTTACGACAAGCTTAGTCGCCTTTCACGGCAAGCATGGGTTGCTGAAGACCTCTTCTATCCCGGGTCTTCACGGGCCAAATGTTAATTTCCACAGTGTGTGTACATTTATTGTATGCAATGAAGTTGACATAAGGATTCAGGTTTGGAATAGGTCCCCATCAACATATGCTGTTTGTAAGAGGTGACCATTGGTCAAGCTTGGGTAATTGTGTCTTTGCACCCTGATGGTGTGGATTGTCACTCACAAAGTCAATCCCTCCATGGATTGTCTGGGACAGGTTTCATTTTTTGCGGGCGGCTGAAATGTTGGCGGGTTTGGTGAGAAACAGAAAATGACACGTATTTCCAGACTTGGCTAAGAAATATGTTCGGGTGGAAGTCATGGGTATCAGTGAGCAGGGCTCACTTTTTGCCTTGTTTTCATTATGAATGGGGGGTTAAATTTGGTGTGTTTTTTAGTCTCTCAAGCAAAATATGATGCCATAAACAAAGTGAAAGATGATTTCCACAGACATTTAACACAAGCAGATATGACTTACCTGTTTCGAAAACTTTACTTGTCCCGGACATTGGCCTATGGGATTTTTTAGCCCATGTAACTAATGTTTCACTGAAAGATTCTTGCTATGTGTTGGTTAAATGAAGTAAGTAAATGTTGAGGGATCAGAATATAAAGTTTCTTACAAGAGAAAATGTTGTATGATGGTGATACTTATTGTGCCGGGATTGGGTGGTCAAGCACGATGACTTGGTAGATGCATGTCATCGTATCCCAATTGGGTAGATCGATGCTCATGATGGCAATCACTGGGTTGTCTGGTCCAGATCCGAATATTTACAGACCGCCGTCATATAGCTGGAATATTGCTGAGTGCGGTGTTAAACAACAAACAAACAAAACTTATTGTAAACCTTTGTTGCAGTTGTATGCTGAGAAAGTTGCCACTCGTGGTTTGTGCGCCATTGCTCAGTGTGAGTCACTTCGATACAAGCTGATTGGAGGACTTGCCGTCAGGAGGTAAGCTACTGCAGCTAGTCATGTGGCCTTTAAAAAGGACCCCCTCCCCATTTATGCAGTGTAATATGTCTCCATTCTATGATAGTAAATACCCTGGACCTGTTGAGGCAGATTAAAAAACTAGAAATAACCGTTCATTCATGGGTGTGAAAACGTCTGTGTGATGTTACTGATAATGGAGATTATGACATCACTTCCCAAATGGAGATATGGCAAGGGATGGCTGCAAATTCTTTTGTCATAGTATCATGTGATAACATACCCTGGATGGTGGAGGATGAGAGGAGTTAGGTTAGGGTAGATTGACAGTCCAAGGAAGTTTCACTGAAGTTGAGCATGAATTTCAAATTCTGTATGTCCAACTTGTACTTAATGATTACCCTTATTACACACAGACAATGTCTTTTTTACACATTGAACCAATTGCAACATCTAAAATTGAACTGGAAATGAGTAGAGAATAAGATGCATGGTCTCTGTGGTATCGACAGAAAATAATGTATTAGTCAGTATCTATTAAAAGGTACGGTCAGTGCAAAAGTTTTGCCACATCACGTCTGACCAAGGGACAAATGATGTAAAGCTAACACCATCTTTCGACTGCAATCATTGTTGATGATACCACTCTAGCCTGATGTCCCATTTTGTCAGTATGCGTTACGTGGTAAAATGTCAGGTTTCTGGAAGAGAAATATTCCTTTCTCAATCATTGTCACCTGAATCAAAATGTTAATCCCCGTTTTCATTTGGTCAACACCCCAATGTGGATCTGAAAAAATTTGTTGATCTTAACATGCTTAATAAGAATAATTAGTGCACTTGATTAGTTTCATGCCACCATTTGACTTGAATATTGCTGACTGCAGTGTTAAATGTTATAAAAATATAAAAAAAATGTCATCAGGATCATAGCTGTTTGGTTTCCAGGGCCCACTTGCACAAAGCGATCTTAGAGCTAAGACTATTTTAAGCCTATGCTAAAGTACGGGAGTTACGATCATCTTAGCGCTAAGATCACTTTGTGCAAGTGGGCCTGTGTCAGATTAGGTCCCTTGTATGTCATGGATTGGGGGAGGGGGAGGTGTCAGGCTTAGTGAATGGCTGATTGTGTGTCATGACCCAATGATCATCATAATGATACAACTGGAATATTGTTGACTCTGGTGGAATACAAGAAATATCTCTCTACAGCACCACCGACCCGTGAAGATTCCGGGGTAGAATAGGTCTTCAGCAACGCATGCTTGTCATAAAAGGCGACTAACGGGATCGGGTGGTCAGGCGCGCTGACTTGGTTGATGCATGTCATCGATCCCAATTGCATGGATCGATGCTCATGATATCAATCACTGGATTGTCTGGTCCACACTTGATTATTTACAGACCGCCGTCATATAGCTGGAATATTGCTGAGTGCGGCATTAAACAACAAACCAACCAACCAACTACAGCACCACCATCCCTTCATTACAATACTTGTATGGCCTTCGGTCGTCGGTACATGTCCAACGAGACAGCTTTTGTATTTTGTGTACCACTCCTATTACCAAGGACACAATTAGATCTTAACCATGTAAAAAATGATGTTACAAAATGAAGATATTTCACTTTCTGTTCAGACCCATAAGCTCCTGATTTGAAATATACATTTTCATGTCGAATATGTCTTGAAAATGTATTGTGAAAGGTACATTCAATGACATTCAGTTTGTGCATCAGAACTCTCTGGTTGTTCACAGAAAGAATCAAATCTGTGGTACGAGATGGGAATTACTACTTAACTTCAAAACTAGAATTTCCTGTGCACTGACTAAGTTGACATTGATACAATAAGGTTCATGTTGTCACTGTACACTATGGGACAAATGATGCAAAGCTAACACCATCTTTCGACTGCACATTCATTGATGATATATCCTAGCCTGATGTCCCTTAGTTTTCTTGCATGTCCCAGTTGTATGATTCTGTTCATATTAAAGACATTTAACAATTACTTCCCACTTCCTGATGGTACACTTATGATTTTTTGTTTTAAACAACAAAACAATATGACGATATTTATGGCATAAAGCAAGTGATAAGTTTACTTTCTCACAAATAAACAACAGAAATAGAAGGAAAAGTTTACACAATTTTAATGCACATTGTAATTGGGGGATTCAGAAATTAAAACAGATATTATCAATCACCATGAAAAGAATGGGAATATACTTTCTAAATTACAAGTGCTTGTGTGTACACTTAAATTCTGGCACATAAATATCTTACCAGTGCCCTGTGAACACTTTTATATGAAAGTACATTTGTATCCCTGACACATGAGAGCTGTTCAGCAAGAAGACTTGTGTATCTCCTCAGGATGACCTGTTCCATGTTGTAGAGCCTGCTATGGTGTGCTGCGATTCATCATGGAGAGCGGTGCCAAGGGTTGCGAGGTTGTCGTGTCTGGCAAACTGAGAGGTCAGAGAGCAAAGTCCATGAAGTTCGTTGATGGTTTGATGATCCACAGTGGTGAACCTCTGAATGATTACGTGGACACAGCTGTCAGGCACGTCCTGCTCCGACAAGGTAAGTCTAGCCTTGACAATGCCTGTTTTCCAGGGATATGTCTAGAGCTGTAAGTTGTTTTATGGAAGTACAGATTATTTTTGTCCTTAGTTTGACAAAGTTGCTGTTCTAGTTTCACATGAGGCATTTTTCTTAAATCTTAGTGGTGCTATGAGCAGTATCATGAAGACAAGATTGACTTTTGGATTTTATGTCTTTTCTTTTTGCCTATTATCATCTTTTACTGTCTAGATCATGCCAAATTGTATTTTGACCAAAGGAATGTGGAACAATCTTCAGATTTTGTGACTTAAATATTGATAATGTCTGTGCAATCTTTGTATTCTGTAAAACTAGCTTATATTCTGTCAACTGAGTTGGACTAGAGGCTTTGTCAGTTGCCAGTGGGAATTCTAGGTCAAACACATTTATCATATATTGCTGATAGCTTCATTAAGCAATTTTCTCAGACAATTTCAGCAGACTCGCTTACATACTACAGAACAAGGGAAGTAACTCTTTTCATTGCAGACAGCAAATGGTTTTAGATTTAAAGGTTTAGGCCACTGTGCCTTTAAAGAGGCAAAAGAACACCAGTTTAGATTTGTATATGTACTTGTCTCCATTATAACTCTATGTACTTTGCAGGTGTGTTGGGTATCAAGGTAAAAATCATGTTGCCCTGGGATCCAACTGGAAAGATTGGACCACGTCGCCCCCTCCCCGATCACGTCAGCATCGTTGAGCCCAAGGATGAGCCTGCCCCAGCTCAACCTTACAGTGAGCAGAAGGGAGCTAAGCCCTCAGCAGATGCTGCTCCAGCACCACCTATTGTGTAATAAGAAAGGTGGGTCGCTTAATTTTTTGGTGGGCCTAGTAGTTAAAGCATTTGCTCAGCACACCGAAGACCCAGGTTCAATTCCCAACATGGGTACAATGTGTGAAGCCGATCAGTGCTTAAAGCGGCGCAAAACATCACCCTGTCACTCACTCACTTTATTTTCTGTAATTCAGCAAAGATCAAAGTTTCAATTTGAATCCCAGATTCATCCTGGTAAAATAAGTTTTGGTCTGCCACGTACGCTCTCAAGTCTTAGCACTTAGGTTACTGTCTTGCGATTATTTTTTTGATTGATTTTTTTTTCTCCCATATTAAGCCGACACATGCTCATGGTAAAAAATTTCCAAATTTAGACCAAACACACAAATAAAACACCTTGCTCGACTGTAACAACAAGTTGTACCTGTTCCTGGTTGTCATTAATACATAGATATCCCTATTTGTGAAATGTGTACACTGTGACATTGCCTAGTGTGAGATATCCATGATAAGTAGGTTGTTGTTTATATAATGGGCAGGATAAATTATGTTTATGCATGAATTAGGTATCTTATTATGTGACTAAATTACTCTCTGCAATATCTGGTGGTTTCAACTTAATGTCTTGCAGGATGTTGTCTTTATTTTCTTTCTCCTCTTTTTCAGATGCTGTTATCACGTTGACAGTAAGACATGTAAAAAGCTCCTGTGAAAATAAATCTTGGGGATTACTGCGTCTTCCTTGTTGTCTTTTGAACATTTTTACTGTGTAGTGACTGGTAGGCTGTGCCAACTAGCTGATTGAGCTGCCTCCAGTGATGGGGGGCCGGTCAGGTAACCTAGTGGTTAAAGCGTTCGCTCATCACACCGAAGACCCGTGTTTGATTCCCGACATGGGTACAATGCGTGAAGCCCATTTCTGGTGTCACCCGCCGTGATATTGCTGGAATATTGCTAAAAGCGGCGTAAAACCATACTCACTCCAGTGATGGGGCTGCAAGATTGTTTGCTGAGATTTGACAGACACTGATGCCACTATAGGGGAATGTTTCTGACATAATTGTATGACATTAAAGGTCTAGGTCACTTATGGGTAAACAACTGTTGTATTTAAAAGTGCAATGTAAACTGAATATACAGTATCTTAAACCTGGGAGGACAATGGTGTAACTTCAAGATATTCGACCATTTGAGATAGCAAGGTCTGAACAGATTCTGAAAAATGAACAATATTATAGGTCCATTTCAATACTTTTGTTTTCGTGAGGAATTAAGAACACAACACATGTATGCGATGACAAATGTAATTATCAATCAGGAAATGATCAATAGCAATTTACACATTATGTACAGTGTAGTCATTTTTTATTCTAATTCGAGATAAGAAGTCAAATTTATATGTATTTGTATAGTGAATCTCTCACAATCTCAGAAGACAATTCAGAAGTTACGTTCAGTTAACAGGTTCAACTGTAGAAGATCAACAAGATCATTTTTGTGTGGTCATCAAAGGCACCACAATTAGCTGTGCAGAACTTGTGCCACTTGGGTACGCTAGAAACCAATAATTGTGGGTTTGATTCCCGGTTCGCCATGGTTGTTTCTAGGTTTGGCCGAACCATACCATACGTGTGGGTTTCACCAAAGTGGTAAACGTCTGAGGCTTGTATCACTTCAGGCTTTCCTCACATTAAGCTGACAGGCAGTGATGTTAGAGTTCAGTTCAAAGCAGCCCTAAAGCCAACTGCCCTAATAATAAACCTTACATGGTCACATTTTGTTTGGTATCTACAATCTTCCAAGGTCTTGTGAAGCATACAGGTCCTCTCACATAAATGTATAAGGACAGCGAATATGACACTGCAGATACCTTCAGTTTAAATGTTCCTGGCATTTCATGTCAGTGATTCAACGTCAAGGTCATCCGACCGGAAGTGCTCATGACTTTGTCCTCAAGAAAGCTATAGGCATAGGACTTAGGTGTACTGCACTGGGGAAAGTTAAACTGGAAGTGTTACTAACTAGGTTCACGGGACTTTGTTGTAAAGTTGACCCGATGGTTTATGGATTAATACAGATAAATACTGGTGTGGTCATCTGCTTTGATGAAGTCCTAATGATTCAGGATGCACGCAGAAAGGTTAAGATGATAGGCCCTCTTCCGTTTTTGCAAGAAATGTAAACTCCTTTCTTGTTGGGAGATGTCCATTGTCCTTTTTTGCCAACAGAAATCTTGGGCATGGGTTGCACGCCAACCTCCACTTTTTTACGTGTTTACGTCAATTCTATTACTGCTGTAAGTTTCTGGCGTCCTTTATACATGGAAGTACGACTGTGGAATAGGACTTCCTTGTCATTATTATTATCAGCATAGACAACGCTTACGTTGTGCAGCAAAATGAAAAGAACCATGATAACCCATTGTACCAAAGTGTGGGTAGTAAGATGGTAATTAATACCAGAGAGATAACCAGACAATACGTCATTGGTAGGAGGGACGGTCCGCTCAATCAACCAAGCCTGACCACCCGATTCATTTTGTCGCCTCTTTCTACCCACGTATTAAGCTGCTGGGGACCAATTCTGGGACACGGGTTTCGCTGTTTTGGGGTCTTGTCCTTAACAAGGCATGTGTTTGGAGAAAGTACACCATCATACCCTTGCTCGTAGGTTCACCCAAGTGGTAAATATCTATTCTTGCTCTTCTGCAAGCTTTCCTCCCGCAAAAAGCTGACGAAGTGTGGTAGAACACAACTCGTTCAATAAGGAAAGAATAAGTAGATTGTATTCTTTATTTAAGCCATAGGAATTTGAGTGTGTTCATGTACTACATGGGTGTCTCAACACAGCGATTATAAACATTCATACGTCAATGCCATATAGGTGAGAAGTTTCAGTGTCATCATGTTAACTAATCTACAATGACACACAGAGGGTCATAAAAAATGACAAGCATTAAGAGAGGGCAACTTTGTAATTAATGACGGGTCACTTATTCATGTTGGGGTTACGGCAGAGTTGAGATAATTTTCCGATCACATATTGATAAGATCAAGTGGTTGGTTTTTTTATTGGCCCATATACAAGAGTACAAAGAGATAATATCCGTGAGTACAACACAGCTATAGAGATGTTCTGCATACAATACAATAAGGATACTCATATACACATAAGATTACAGATTTTATTTACGATTAGATGTATGTGACAGATCGACGTCTGACAAGTTTATTCACATAGTGTAAGCAAAGAACAGACTTTCCTTTCAATTTGGTTTACGAATCCGCCCACTCCCAAACAATTAGAATGTGAACAGGGACAGGAAATATTAAACTTTTATATTTGAAATAGTATAAATGCCTGTTGAAAATGTATCTTAGAAAATTGAAAAGGGAAAAAAATGTATTTGAGATTTTTCGACCTACCAACCAGAATGTTTGGGCCTAAAATCAGTAAATCAAAAGGGAAAAAAGAGTCTGGACTCTGTCACGCGGTCAGTTCCCATCAGTCTCAATCAATGGTCCAGGTCTGGTATCGACCAGCAGGTCCCCGAAGTGGCATGATAGGTGGCGCCTGTCAATATCCTTGGTGTGATTAACCTGTTCAAAAATACCCGAAAGAATGAGGCAGGACTTCGCAGATCAGTAACGATCACCATCTATCGTATTTGTATGATTCCACGGTGACATTACCTTCACAAAGTGAGACGCACGTTCGGTCTACATACATTAGTACCCCTGATGAGATTGGGTGCAATTGTGTATCTGCCATCTTTTCAATGATATTTGCACAGCAAGGTTACATTGACCTGTCTGAAAAAACACCACCTATCAACTATTTCAATTGAGTTACAATAAGAACCGGGGCCCGTTCCACAAAGCGATCTTAGCGCTAAGATGATCGTAACTCCCATACGTTAAATTAATATATACTTACGACAATCATAGCACTGAGATCGCTTTGTGGAAAGCGCCACTGGTCGATAAAACAAAACCGCTGCAAAGGTGCATATAAATAGGTGAGCTTCTGAAACCTGGGCCCGGTTCCACAACGCGAGCTTAGGCCTAAGACGATCGTAACTCCAATACTTTAACATAGACTCATGGCAGTCGTAGCATCGGGGTCTCTTTGTGGAACAAGGGTCAGGTCGTTAACACATGAACAATACAACAAGACAGGTGTGCTGCAAGGACCTGGGACCACTTGCACAAAGCGATCTTAGCGTTACGACTATTATGAGCCTATGTTAAAGTAGGGGGCACGAGTGGCCCAGTCGTCTAAGGCGCCGCGATTCGCTGTGCAGAGTTGCGTCCCTTGGACACGCCAGACACCTGCAATTGTGGGTTCAAAGCCGGTTCGCCCCGATTATATTTCTAGGTTTGTCAGCACCATACCCGTGCTCTCGTGGGTTTCATCGATGTGGTAAACGTCTGAGACCTGCATCACTTCGGGATTTCCTCCCACAGTTAGCTGACACGCCGTGATATAACTGGAATACTGTTAACAGCGGCGTTAAAACCCAACTTGTTAAAGTGTTAAAGTATGGGAGTTACGATCATCTTAGCGCTAAGATCGCTTTGTGCTAGTGGGCCCAGGTTGTTAAAACACGTCAACAATTAAACTATATTGATACAAGAACGTATCTTAGTTTATATAACCACGTGAGCTACAGAAACTGTGTGCCAGAAAATCTGGACCGCCTCCGTGGTCTTGGGGTCGAGGGAAATGTCTGGGGCTCGTTACCGGCTGCGGTATACCAAAAGATGAGCCCAAAGGAGCCAAAACAAAGACTTGTCAACGTGGAGTCCGTATACGGTGTCTGGGTGGGGTATTCATGTTGAACTGCGGCATGGTATCTCAATTGGCTAGCACTTTAAAATCGGCATTAGTCCGGAGTTGTACAAGCGGACGCACGCACGCACGCACGCACGCACGCACACACGCACACACGTGCTTGCACGTAACTATATAAGTGCAATAATCTTAAGCTCGACGCTAAACCCCATTTCACATCCCCTAGAAGATCTGATCGTAGTAAATATAACCCTGCATGTGTGCTACAAGAACTGCATGTTCACGTAAATGTAACCACGTGTGACACGAGAACCGATCTTAGTAAATATAACCACAGGAGTTACAATAAAGTATCTTTGTACATATAACCATGAGAGCTACAAGAACGGATCTTAGTAAATATAACCACAGGAGTTACAATAACGTATCTTTGTACATATAACCATGAGAGCTACAAGAACGGATCTTAGTAAATATAACCACAGGAGTTACAATAACGTATCTTTGTACATATAACCATGAGAGCTACAGGAACTGATCTGGCCCGTGAAGATCCGTGGTAGAATAGGTTTTCAGCAACCCATGCTTGCCGTAAGAGGCGACAAATAGAATCGGGTGGTCAGGCTTGCAGACTTGTTTGGTGCACGTCATCGTATCCCAATTGCACGGATCGATGCTCATGATATCAATCACTGGATTGTCTGGTCCATATTTGATTATTTACAGACCGCCGTCATTTTGCTGGAATATTGCTGAGTGCGGCTTTAAACAACAAACAAACAAACAAACAAACAACAACGGATTTTGGTACATACACTGTACAACCATGGGCGAGTGAAAATGATTCAACTATGATTTAAGAAATGCACGTCACATGTATACTATTACGAAAGTACCTTTAGACACAACAGATATCGCGGGTTTTTTTCTCCTTGTG